TGGAAAGCTGTACCGACGCCAGAAAAACCAGCGTCGGCCGGAAACGATGGAGAATGGAAGTTTTCTCTAAGAGTCGCCTTAGGAGAGAGAACAGAGGAGAAAAAAAAATATAAACTTCCAAATGATATTTAATTATTATTTAAACATATATATATAATAGAAAATTTAACTTTAAAAACTATATAATAAATAATCTCTTTAATGGCAACACATACTTTTCATATTCTTTATAATAATTTTAAAATCCAATTGTTAACATTTCCTCTTTGTTAAGTTTATTATTCGAATAATGAAACTAATTGGAGTAAAATATGGTTTGGTTCGGTTCAATTCTAGGACAGTTCGGATTTTAAATTCAAAACCCGAAAATAACCAGAATCAGACTTTTCGAACACAAACGATTTTAGAAGAAAAGCAACCAACAACATGAACTTTTAATTCGATTCATTCTTTCTTGTCTAATTCTCCATTCTACAATCAAAGTTTCCCTATAACAGAAGTTCCATGCACACAAGTGAAAAGAAAAAAAAAGACACGAGTTACAATGTATAAAACAGTATCAAGTCATTTGAAGATTCCCAAACCTCTTTCTGCAAATACACTATTTGGTAAATAAGTTACACAAGCATCAAAGGCCACAACGGTTAAAAAGAACGTGTCACCTTGAGTCCTTTCCGAGGAATAAATAGATGCACCATTCCGCTCTCTCAGGCACGTTCATCATTCACGTGGTTCGGGATCTCGGGTTGGCTATCCAGTGGCATGTACTGTGCCATTATAGCTCTGATCTCTGAGTCCATGTATCGCTGTAAAATCAGGGACATAAGAAAGTTCATAACAATTTCCCCAAGCAACGGATATGGCAACCGTCTTAAGATCCAAAGATATGTTTTAACAGACATTTCAGGCCAGAATACAAAAAGATTAACCTTTGCTTTTAACAAAACAGCAGATATAAGATCAGAAGGATGAATCAGAAGCTTACCCTTAACCTATATTTGTAAACGAGGTATGCCCCACCGGCCGCAAGTCCCAATGATAACATTATAAGCCAAACAGCTGCCCACGCTGATCTCACTTGTGAACCCGTCTTGCCTAAATTTCATACGTAAGAACCAATGCCACAGAGAGGTTGTGTATGCACGAGTATTGTTTTTAGTACGTGTCAATCACGCATGATGCATATTAATAGAATTACAGATATTCAACTTCATGAAAACTCACTGATGCAAGTGTCATGATCTCTGATGTAGAGAAGATCCCCGCTACAAGAGCATTCGTAGCTTCCCCAGGTGTTCTTGCAGCTACATTCCGGGCACTGACAGGCTTTCTTCTCTTTGCATTCATTAATGTCTGGTGAAAGAAGCACGGAAATCCTTAAAAAGATGATTAGAAGTAGATGTACGGTACGAAAAGTTTAACAGAGAGTCTAACCTTCACACTTCTTAATACCATCTCCTCTAAATCCAGGAGGACACTCGCACTTAACACTGTCTTTATCCTGAAGACATTACGAGTTGAGACATGAGTCTCTTATTATACGGTGAGATTGTGCCTCAAAAGTGAAGCAAAGTGCAGAAGAAACACTAACCACACAAGCAGAGAACGCATGTCCATCTCTCTCTTCATGCCAACAACCTCCATTGTTGATCGTGCATCTCCCTGGCCCGCTTGCTGCCATGCAAACACCAATTAATTATGAAACGTGACATCCAACAAAGGCGACGAACATTAATATTATAAAAATTACTAAAAAGATGACACGGAACACTCACGTTCACAGTGGCTGTATCCATCCCCTTTGAATTGCACACCATCAACTCGAGGGCACTCACATACTCTTCCACGAAAAGTATCCTGCAAATTAAGCAGATTAAAATATATAGAAACGTTTGACCAAAAAAAAAGATATATAGAAACAGTTATGTTGAAACTGTTGAAACTCTCGCCAGGAATAATATCAAATTATACCTTGCAAGCAGTTATGTTGGCTGATTTATCTTGCCAGCATCCGCCATTGTTATCTAAGCACTCATTTGACTCCATCTCTGTCATTTGCAATAGAAGATACGAATTTCAAAGTTCACATAAGTGTTAAAAGGTGTGATCAAGCAAAGTTAAAGTTGGTATATCAGTATGATAACCAAACTAATCCCAAGAATAGTAAGGATCAGATACTTCGGGTACAAGACCAGTTATTTCTCGGGTATGGGTGAGGTATTTCGGGTTTTTCAAATATTTGATGAACACAGACTTTGGATACTAAACCCACAAAGGTTCACCTGTGCTCAGGCATATCGCTGGTTCAGTCGTCTCCTCAAAACCAGAACATAGAGCCTTGAGTACTGCACTCTTCTCCAACTTGCCTGAAAGGAAACATTTATTTAACAAGATAAACCAGGGCATAGAGTATGAAAAGCCTTAAGTTAACACTGCAAGACAAACCTCGGTACTGTCTGTTATTGACAACCAAGGTAGGCAATATGGTAACATCACCCCTTGAACCCTTGCCAACCTACATAATAATCCCAAACATGACTGTGATTCTGAGATGCCCGGAGGAACGTAAGAAAAACATAAGTAAGGAAACATAAGTAATTTACTTGAGCATCTTGTTCTTCCTTTAGAATTGGATTGTCCGAGTCCGCATCAGGGTCTCCCATACACTTATCAAGTTTTCTACTATCGATTCCTGTAAAGACATAGAAAAACTGGATTATTCTCCTGGGAAAAAAAGTTTTAATTTTCGAGCTATACAAGAAACACTCACCAAGAGACTTGATAACAGAATCAGCACATTCTTTGTTGTATTTCTTCTCCTTCATGGGACATCTGATCTGGAAATCAGTGACATAATCCCACCAGACCCAGGGTTTCCCGGTTTCATTTGCCACCTTGTAAACGCAAAGCTGTCTCAAGTTTTCTACAACCACGTCTTTACCATCGTATCCTGAGCTAAAGTCCTGTTCAGGATCAGGAGCGCAGTATCTTCCCTTGTTTATACACTGAGACTTGCACTGTCTACTCAACGTGAAAGCGTGAGGACAATACCAAGTAATGTAATGAGGTCTAAACTGCGTGTAACCACCCTTCTCGAGAATCTGAGCAGCACCCTTAAAATCCTTCACAAACTCCATCAACATGTCACACTTGACCCCGCACTCGTCATTGCTATTGGTCCACAGTTCATACTCGACACGGTCATCAGGGTGCGGAACAGCTTCCCTCCAGTCAAGATTTAAGTTGACCATATCCCCTCCACTGATTGCTTTCTTCAACTTTTCACCAAAACCTTTCGTGACAAGAGCAGAAGGAATGGTAATATTCTCAATATATTTTGCAGACGAAACATCCTCTTCTGGTGTGTCCATCGTAATCAAAGGCTCATCAACATTGTCTGCCACAAGAACAGCAGAAGCACCAGCTTTCTGTGCATTCCAGACTTTCAAAGCGAAAAAACAATCTACACAACATAATATAACCATCCATTACGCTAAAGTGTATATATGTCTATGCATAACAACAAGAGTAAGGCAAGTTCTGCACACACTTGAACCAATTAAGATAAAAGGCAATACAAACAAAATCTCCTAAATCAAGCCAAGGAGAAACGAAAGCGAGAAGCAGAGATGGATCAAATCGATTCTAGTTCTGACATTGAAGATAAAATGAGTACCTCCACGATCAACCAAGAGGAAGGTAGGCAAAGCACCCGGCTGTGACTTGAAAGAAATCGAGAAATCGCTGAACTCTTTGCACGATTTCTGGTTCTCCTTGGGATAAACCACCGTGCCGGCCATGCTTCCTCCGTACTGAGGGATCCCGAAGTTGCCAATTGCACTGTCGTGAGTCCCCTTAATGCTCTCCGGCGACGTCACCGACAAACTGTTCTTCTCCACCACGAATCGAGCCTCGCAAGAAAAGGGGATGGATAGAAGCAGCCATGGAAGAAGAAAACATAGGAGCTGCTTCATCTTCGAGATCTCCGCTAGCAGCACAACCAACTCAAAGGATTGGACAAAACCACACAAATTGGATCAAAGCAATCAGAGAGTTGAGATCGGAGAATTGAAAAGAGATGGTGACTCGAGCGTCGAAGGTTTTGGAGTATTGCGACGACGCAGAGTCAATAGAGAATAGAAAACTCGGGTATTTTTTTCAACGTTTCCGGTGTGACTGGAAGACTATAGACGACGCAGAGTCAAAACAGATATACAGTGGATAGTTTAGACGAAACAATTAGCAGATGTAGTGAACCTCATCCGAATTTAAAAATAATATTTTTGGTTTGTGTTGTTTGGGAAAAACTTGGAGTAAAAATGAGGTTCATCCCGAATTAAAAATAATTTTTTCTTTTCTTTAAAAAAAAAGCCACAATAATTTATAATTAAAAATAGAATTCAGTACACATAATCATAAAACATACAATATATAAAAACACAATTTAATACAAGAAAATTAAAAACATATAATATTTGTAATATAAAAATAGTTAACCAAATTTATTCCAGATATTTTCGATTAAATCTGCTTTCAATCATTTATGTATCTGTCTGTCACGGAGTTCGTTTCGTTTTGCCATCATCAAATTTGAGACATTTGTAGACATACGTGTAGAATACGTCCTATCGATATGCGAATTTCTGCTTCCTTGTGGTTGTTCGAATTCTTCTAAATTGTATAGACTATAGCCATGTTGTTTGTTTTCTACTATCATATTGTGTAATATGATAGAGGCCCGCATAATCTTCCCAATCTTTTCTTTATTCCAAAAAAGAGCGGGATTTTTTATTATTGCGAATCTAACTTGCAGAACGCCAAAAGCCCGCTCCACATCTTTTCGGACGGATTCTTGTTTAGTTGCAAATAACCTATTTTTTTTCTCTTTCAGGAAGATGAATTGATTGTATAAATGTAGTCCATTTCGGATAAATGCCGTTTGTGAGATAATATGGCAAACGATACTCGTTACCATTTACCCAGTATCTCACTTATAGAGCTCAACCTTGCAAGATGTCATCAAAAACTGGTGACCGATCAAGAACGTTAATATCATTTAATGTACCTGGAGGTCCAAAAAATACGTGCCATATCCAAAGATCTTGTGATGCTAGTGCCTCTAAAACGATTGTCGGGTTTCCTGCTCCGCGTGTATATTGACCTCTCCATGCGGTTGGGCAATTCTTCCACTCCCAATGCATACAATTGATGCTTCCAATCATCCTGGGAAAGCCTCGTTCCTCTCCAAGGTCCAGTAAGTGTTCAAGATCATCAAGTGTAGGTCTTCTTAGATACTCATCTCCAAACAAGGATATTATGCCCTCAGTGAAATTTTCTAAGCATAACAATGCTGTACTAGCACCGAGCCGGAGATATTCGTCAACTGCATCAGCTGCTGTACCATATGCCATCATACGAATTGCTACTGTACACTTTTGTAGAGTAGATAGACCTAATCTCCCGATAGAATTACTTCTTTGTTGAAAGTATGGAACTTCATCGGAGAGGCGGTGAACAATACGCAGGAACAAGTCCTTGTTCATTCTAAAACGGCGTTGGAATGTATGTGGCGGATAGGTTGCTTCGTCGCTGAAATAATCGTTCCATAAGCGGTTGTGACCTTCTTCCCGCTTTCTTTCAATAAATGCTTTTTTTCTTTTTTTCTTTTTTTCTGCATGTTGATTAACTATAGAATCAAACATATCATCAAACTTCTGATCAAATGCATCATCAAATGCATCATCAAATGCATCATCAGCTTTATCATCAAATCCATTGCTTGAAGAAGCTGCCATTTTTTGTGTTTTTAAGTTTGAGATAAGAGATAAAGAGATGAAAACTTTGTGAAAAGAAATGAGTTTTAAGAGGTTTGTGTTTGATAAAAGTACTAGGCGGTTTTTGTCTTTGATAAAGAGGTTTGTGTTTTTGGGAACTTTATGGTGTTTGATATAGAGGTTGTGATAAGAAATACACTTTGATAGCAAGATGAGAAAGTAAAACACTTTGATATCAAGATGAGAAAGAAAGAAGTTTACAACTATGAATAACATATGGTCTGTTTTCTGTCATATAAATACACGGAATAAGTTAAAAGATGTGGCCAAAATGATAGTTGGAACATATGGTCTACATACAAAATAAATATGCGGTTAGAAAACAAGGAAGACAAAAGCTTTATGGCCCCTCGAATATTGGCGCATGTGGTCACGGATCAATAGCCAACTTGTAGTGGCCAAATTGATGTGACACTACCTGCAAAAATAAAAGCAAAGAGAGTTAGAGATATATGTCCCATGACAGACATTGAATGACAAAGCAACACATAGTTACAAAGTTGAAACTCAAAAATTTAACAAAGTTCATAGACAACAAAAGTTGAACAAAGTACCAAAACTGAAACCAAACTTCATAAAGAAATGTTTAACAAAGTTCATACATATAGAAGCCGAAGGCCCATAGCAAATAAAAGTTCATAAACTAAATATCATACAAACCGGATGAAGCAATAACATAGAAACAAAGACTAACACAAAGTCAATATCAGAGTTCATACCCTAAAGATCATACATCGCACAAATTAACTTGTTTTTTAATGCCATTTCAATCTCAGTGAGTGGTTCAGTCTTAGCCAAAATGGTCTCAAGAATCCTCTTGTCCCTAATCTTGTCTTTCAACTCTAGATCTTTTTGTTTCATTTCCCACATGGAAGAAAACTCCTTCATGTCCTTGTTCTCGGGTTTAAGACGTGATGACTTCTTTGCGTTGGCCTTCGCAGCCTTGACTCCAGGTGGACGAACCTCGACTACATCTTCATTTTCGCTTGCAGGTATGGAGGTTGATGACTGAGCCGAGTCTTCAACCTTTCTTTTTTTGGTCGATGCACCATCTTGGACTTGCTACTCGTGCACCATTTCTGGTCGAACCTCAACTCTCTCCAGGCATGTTCCAAAGCAAACTTGATGGAGTAGTTATTGAAAAAGATCTCATGCGCAAGCTTCATAACGTTGTTTTCATTCTGACCGCTTCTTTTCTCCTTCTGCGCAGCCGCGTATGATCCCACGAATTTACATACCTGGTCATTGATCCTTCCCCATCTTTGTTTACATTGAGACCACTCTCTCCTTGGCATTCCAACTATATCCTCGCTGTTGTTGTAATACGCTTGAATACGCTTCCAGTAAGCACCAGCTCGCTGTTCATTGCCGACAATCGGGTCCTTACTCACTGGTGTTGAGCCACGCACTGATGAGGACCAAGTCTTCCTTCGGCGACCAGACTTTCGTCTTCAGTGCACCATCAGTAGGATCATCAGATCCTTGTGTACTAAACAAAGGAATCTCTGATGATCCTATTTCTATGCACGGTGAGTAACAGTCAGGGTTTAACTGACTGGTTAGAAGGTTTACAAACCCTTCCGACTGTGTAAAAGCGGTCTGAGAAGCCATAAAGACTGGAACGAGTGGAAGGAGTTAAAAGACTAGTGAAAGGAGTGAAAGAGGACTGTGACTTAAAGAGAAATGAGAGTGGAAAAGAGAGAAAAGAGTTGAAGAAAATGGAACCCGAGAAGAGACTGAACAGAGAGACGAGAGTTAAAGAGAATGGAACCCGAGAAGAGAGTGAACATAGAGAAGACAGTTTGAAAGTGTTTATGAGTGAAAGAGAGTGGAAGAGAGTGAAAGAGAGTGAAAGAGAGTGAATGAGAGTTAAGTGTTTTTTAATTTATGGTTGATTGTCTTTTAAATTATGGTTGACAGTCTTTTCTGTGTCTTTATGGTTAAGTGTCTTTTATGTTAAATAAAATAGTAGTTGGGAGTCTTTTAATTTGAGTTTTCAAGTTAACGATAAAGTTGTAAACATTTGCGAACAGGTTTTAACAACCATTAAAAACACTACCTAAACCTATCCTGTCATATCAAGCATTGATAAACAATAACAGTCATAAAGCTAACTAAAAAAACCTAGCCAGTTACCTAACGCATTAAACACAAACAAAGAACCAGTTACTAAACATTCAAGTTACAAAAGAACTGACATTTACTGGGTGAGCCATATGCCGTCAACTATCATTTCAGTTCCCGTGGAGTCCAAATTCCCTCACAAAAAACATTAAAACAGACCATTATAAGCCCTAAATAACTTGAGCCGAAGGTAACTACTTAATGTTACATTACTTAAAAAACAATGCTAGCCATTTCTAAACCCTACAGATATAACCAAAAGCTGCAATAACACAAACAAAGAAAAGCATAGACAACCTGTCACTTTGAGTACGAAGCTGCTCCTCCAAATCCCTGACTTCACCCTTAAGCCTTGCAATCTCTTCCCGGTTTTCTCCTATGGCTGGATCAACAGAGGTGCTGGTGACCCGATCAACACTGAGGATCAGGTCCTGCTGCTTTTCTATCCTTGTCTCAAGGATTTCAAACTGTTCTGTTACCGCGTGATCCCACCATTGGTGAATGTGGTCAAAAGTGCCCTAGAAACATTACAAAATGTTAGCGAGAATAACATAAATATTGAAAATTTAGACTGAACGAAGAGACAGAACACCTACCTCGTTAATCCATTCTGGGCAAGAATAATACTTACGATCGGCTGCGTTTTCTTGGAGCTTCACAACCCACCCACAGAAGCACTTCTCGGGTATGCCATAAGTGGCATCCGCGTAAGCCCAGTACGGGATCTCCGAAGCTTCCTCAGATGAACCGCTGTTGTACCTTGGCATTATCTGCCCAAAACAGAAAGGGATCAGTACAATACAAAGACAAACGATACAGCACAAATACATTTTGATCAACCAATACAAATACAAACATGTAGCCCATTTCAGTTGATTTTCAATATTATCAAGTTACTACATTACCACAACCATCCATATTATCTATTATAGTATTTGTGAAGTGATTTGAACAGTGATTCAATGCACATCTTTTGATGCCGTTTTGATTAATGAAATCCTTATATTCTGATTGGTCATCTGATGTTATATTTTGATTGGTTGATGTTAATTAATTATTATTATTTTTTCTGTCGTTTTGATGGAAGGTGTTAAATTACACTTATGCCATTAATAAAAATACTCTATTCTGATTGGTCAGTTGATTATTCTGCAATTAAAAATAAAATCTGATTAAAATGAAATATTCCATAATTAATACACAACAAAATAACTGGCATAATATCATTTTTTGTCGACAATAAAAATATATATTTAAATGCTGATTGGTTAACATAAAAATAACACAAACTACAATGGTTAGTGACATGAATTCTTATCTCATAGGTAGCAAGTTCGAATCTTAGACTAATTTAATCGTGTTTTTTCCCTAAATTTTTCTAATTCTAAATCAATTTTTTTAACCAATCGTGGATCAGATCTAGAGAAAAGTGAGTCCAAGCCCATATTAATGATATTTATAAAGAAACCCTAAATCGTTTTCTATATAAATAAATATTTTCTGCCTCCGCTCATATTCATATACTATTATTTTTTTTACGTTTTGTTCTAGGGTTTTGGCGATTGGTTACTCTACGTGGTTTTTTTAGTTTTTTTTTGTGCTATTTCCGATATGTTCCTTTGCTTACAGACTAATTTAACTATGTATTCTTCTAGATATGGTATTTTGAATCCATCGAAAAGTATGATCACAATTTTGGGCTTCGCAGCATATTGTTAGGTAAGTTTTCCACTACAAGAAAAACATCATTTTACAACGGCCGAAATGGTCTTTATTTCGTCGTAATAGGGCCATTACGACGGACTACCGATGATTTCGAAATCGTCGTAAAGTCATCGTCGTAATAGACAAATCATCGTAAAATCGTCGTAAAATCGTCGTATAATATACGACGGTTTTGTTTCGTCGTAACGTCGAGGCAATCAAAATCGTCGTAAATGCGTCGTACAGTTTACGACGAGTTTACATCGAATTGCGTCGACTTGATCTTCGCCTGGACCGTCGTTAAGTGGTCGTTAATGGTCGACGTAAGATCGTCGTAAAATGTACGACGCATAAATCGTCGTAAATCAATCGTAAAGTATTTCTTCATTTCGTCGTAAAATCGTCGTAACTCTCGGACGTATAATCGTCGTATTTGTCGTCGTACATTGTAGTCGTAAATTCGTCGTAATATTTACGACGAATGTACGACGGTTTTAATAAATCTATTACGACGATTATACAACGTTTAATATAATTGAAAATTAAAAAAAAAAAATAATTCGAATTAAAATTCAAATAAAAAAAATAATTTACAATTTAAAATTTATGAAAATTTGAAATTAAAATTAATTGTAATTTACAAAAAAACCCTACAGATCTAAATCTAAATCTAAATCGATCCCGTCGATCCCGTCACCGGCCTCCTCCCCATCGTCCTGGACGTGTTCCTTGCCGGGTCGTCGGTTTGATGCTTCCGCCGGCGCCTGATCTCCGGTTCTAGGAGGCTCAACCCCGAGAGATCGGAACATCTCCTCGTCCGTCTGCACTGGCGGTTGCGTCCTAGTGGATGACCCGGCGGCAGATGATCCGACAACCCCATCAGCCCGCAGCTTGTCCAACTGCGCTATGAGTACCGGGTTGTCGGCTCCCATGATCTCGAAGAGACCGTAGAGCTGGTCGATCCTCGTCTCGTACCGGGTCCGCATCTGATCGATCTCCTGGCGGATAACCGGATCCGGAACCCGGACGTGACCAGTCGCCGTAGCTCTCGGGGTATCACGGATGGACCCCATCCCTAATACCCGCCCCTTTTTCTTTAGGGCAACCTACAAATATTTAAAAACATTATGGTT